GCCCACGTGTACCTGAGCTACGAGGTCGGGCCAAATCACCCTCCATCAATTGCCCCCCATTCCCTGCGCTGGCGGCGGTGACCCAATGCGGGGAGGTCATGACGCGCCGGGTGGATTTGGCATCGGTATTTTAGCTGCGTTGTTGCGCGTTCCGTCCAGCTGTACCAGTCTAGCGCCCGGCTCGACCAAAAAGAGATTTGAGTCGCGTCCAGATTATGCGCAGACTTCATGCGACTTGGACTTCGCAGACGTCAAAAATGCGCTAAATCATTTTCACCTCGAAGAACCCGTGGTTGCGGCTATAAATAGGGGGTCCCTTGGCCATTTTCTTCGTCACAAAGCTTTCGGCGTTAGCGTTTGAGCTTGCGCCAGGGGTCTCTTAGCTCGGGTCCTCCAGTTCGTTCTGTTCTTCCAGTCCGATTGTGTTTCTTTGGTGAGTCCTCCCGAGCTTCCTTTTTCCCTTCTAGTTTGTTTCTTTCTTTTAGTTCGGTATGTTGTCTAGTGTAGACAGTCTCATTGACGAGCCCGAGGAAGGTACCTCGGCTCGGGATGTCTCCTCTGCTACCCAGCCGTCCGAAGTACGGGTGGCTTCGGGTCATTTGGCATCCACCTCCCACCGAGGTCGGGAAGCATATCAGTTCGGGCCTTCCATAATGACCTCGGAGAGGCTTCAGGACCTCATACAGAGGTTCCGCCTCCCTAACGAGTACTCATATAGTGTTCCCACCGGCAACTTCCCATGGGAGCACGGTCCCAACGAGATCGTGATCTTCAGGGAGCAACTGATAGCCGGGCTCAGACTTCCACTTCACCCTTTGATCGTTGAGGTGTTTGTACACTTTAACATCACCCTGGACCAACTCCACCCGAACTCCATACGAAATGTGGTGGGGTCCATTTCTCTTTGCTTTGATCGTTCCCTCTTCATAGATTTAGATGTTCTCAATACAATTTTGGCTATAAAGAAGAGCGCTTTGGGTGCTCTCCCCGGGCATAGGCGGTCCTACTACCTGTCCCCCCGCCCGGGTTTCAAACTCATGCACAAGCTCCCAAGCAAAGTCCCAGCTTGGAAGCGGGACTACTTCGTAGTTCGGAGCAGTACGAGGTGGCCCTTCCCCACCGATTGGAGGATAGCCGTTCAAGAAGGAGCTCCAGTCACTGGCTTAGCTCGGGTTGCATTATAAAGACTTCACTTCTGAGGAGAAGCTCGTCCGAGCGGGCTTGGGTCTGGGTAGGTTTTCCCCACTTCGGCTTTCCGCTCATATATTTGCTTCGGGTTGCTGATGTCGTGTTTCACCGCAGGTCCCATGGAGGCGGAGAAAATAGACAACCAGAAGCTCTTCCACCAGATGAAGAGGAAGAAACGCGTGGCAAAGAAGGCGTGCGTTGGGTCCCCGCAAGATTCAGCCTAGCCTCGACTTCCGCAGACTTCTGCCTCGGGGCCTGAGGTGGCAGCCGCGCCCGTCATCGACTTGGAAGAGGGGGCTGTGCCTAAGGGGCNCCTGCCGTTAAGCCCGCCGAGCCCACCAAACTTGCTAGAGAAAGCGTTGTCGAGGCCAACGCTGCTACTGCCGGGGCTCATCCTGCTGAAGCTGTTGTCGAGGTCTCCGAGAGCTCTACTAACGATGTGGAGATGACAGCTTCCAGCTCGGAGGATCAGAGGAGCCAAACCGTCCTGAACCCCCAGTGTAGCCTGAAGAAGAGTAAGCTAGCTACATACTTGGGGGAGGTCAGCAAGTGGGCCGAACTCACTCCTGGTCAGCTCGGCGCTCGAGCCGCCACTCATACTATGGTGGTGAGTCCCCCTTCTTTTTTCTTTCTCTTTCCTTCTTTTTCTTCTTTTTTTTTTGGTGGTCTCCCTCTTAACCGGTTCTCCTTTTTGCAGGTGAACTCCGCCATTCGCGCCTTGACCCTAAGGCTCGAGGTACAAGGCCTCAAGGAGGCGAAGGGGAAACTGGAGCATGATGTGGGGTACCTCCAGGAGGACATAAGGGAGAAGACTGCAATCTTCAAGGGTGCTCTCGAGGAGGCCAAGACCCAAGCYGTCATTGACTACGTCAACTCTTCGAGATTCGACGATGTGATGACGGAGGCCTACCGTAAGGGCTTCAAGCTCAGTCGGTGGCTGATCAGGCACCTCTACCCCGAGCTGGACACGAGCGCCATTACTACTTCGCGGATTACTGACGACATCGTGCGTCAATCAAAAGATGACCCTGATTCCGAGGATGAGGGTGCTGAAGATGGAGTAGAGGATGCCGGTCCAGACACTGTCCCCGAGGGGGTCTTTGATAGAGGCGGTGAGCCCCCGAAGTAGTTTGCTCTTTATATTTGTAACTTAGTCTTTTCCCTTTATGAATTGTGAATGTACTTATCCTGAGCCTTTGAGCTCGGGTAAAAATTCTTGTACCTGAACTCTCTTTTTAATGAAATATAGTTTCTTTTGAGTATCTCTTAGTGCAAAAATACTTATAAGTGTGAGTGGACTCCGAGCTGGTCAATTTAATGTATAGGTTACCCGAGCTGTGTAAGAGCAGCAGGGGTGTAGACGCCGTAGGGTTCATACC